GACGCATGTTGACCTGAATCTCTACATGTTCATGATGCATGTTGCCCTGAATCTCTACATGTACATGACACATGTTGACCTGAATCTCGACATGTACATGACACATGTTGACCTGAATCTCTACATGTACATCACATATGTTACCCTCAATCTCTACATGTACATGACACATGACACATCTTTGCCCTGAATCTCTACATTTACATGACACATGTTGCCCTGAATCTCTACTACATGACACATGTTGACATGTGTTGCCCTGAATCTCTACATGTACATGACACATGTTGCCCTGAATCTCTACATGTACATGATCACATGTTCACCTGAATATCTACATGTACATTACACATATTGCCCTGAATCTCTACATGTTCATAACACATGTTGCCCCGAATCTCTACATGTTCATGACGCATGTTGCCCCGAATCTCTACATGTTCATGACACATGTTGCCCCGAATCTCTACATGTACATGACACATGTTGCCCTGAATCTCTACATGTACATGACACATGTTGACCTGAATCTCTACATGTACATGACACGTGTTGACCTGAATGTCTACATGTACATGACACGTGTTGTCCTGAATCTCTACATGTACATGACACATGTTGCCCTGAATCTCTACATGTACATGACACATACCCTGACATGACGCTGTTGTGAATCTCTACATGACGCATGTTGCCCTGAATCTCTACATGTACATGACATATGTTGCCCTGAATCTCTACATGTACATGACACATGTTGCCTTGAATCTCTACATGTACATGACACATGTTGCCCTGAATCTCTACATGTACATGACGCATGTTGGCCTGAATCTCTACATGTACATGACAAATGTTGCCCTGAATCTCTACATGTACATGACACATGTTGCCCTGAATCTCTACATGTACATGACAAATGTTGCCCTGAATCTCTACATGTACATGACACATGTTGGCCTGAATCTTTACATGTACATGATGCATGTTGCCCTGAATCTCTACATGTACATGACATGTTGCCCTGAATCTCTACATGCACGCGACATATGTTGCCCCGAATCTATACATGTACATGACGCATGTTGCCCTGAATCTCTACATGTACATGACACATGTTTGCCCTGAATGACCATGCCCTGAATCTCTACATGTTCATGATGCATGTTGCCCTGAATCTCTACATGTTTATGACACATGTTGTACCTGAATCTCTACTACATGTACATGATGTTCATGTTGCCCTGAATCTCTACATGTTCATGACACATGTTGCCCTGAATCTCTACATGTTCATGACAATCTCTACATGTTCATGATGTTGCCCTGAATCTCTACATGTACATGATAAATGTTGACCTGAATCTCTACATGTACATCACATATGTTGCCCCGAATCTCTACATGTTCATGACGCACGTTGACCTGAATCTCTACAAGTGACACATGTTGACCTGAATCTCTACATGTACATGACACATGTTGCCCTGAATCTCTACATGTACATGACACATGTTGCCCTGAATCTCTACATGTACATGACGCATGTTGCCCTGAATCTCTACATGTACATGACGCATGTTGCCCTGACTCTCTACATGTACATGACACATGTTGCCATGAATGTCACCACATACACATGACAGGTTATCACCTAATTACACATGTTAAATGCCAATCTAAAACGACTACGAAAGCAAAGTAATATCTTTTATAACACATGTATAAAGCGTTGGGTAAGCTGATGATAGTATTGCAAAATACAACAATGACGTTTTACATACAATGATAGAAATAATAAACTAGTGTTTTGTTATTCATCAAATATATCTTCTTGACAATATTGCAAGTGAATACTTGCACAATGGGAAATGATTTATGGAAAAGAAATATTATTTCGTTACAGCCTTTGTATCAACAATCAAAATCTTAGAATAGGAAATAAATCCTGATTCTCTTCAAGTGCCTCTGTGTGCTGTCAGATTTCACGTTTCGTCATGCACCGAATATCTGTCAAGTGCTAGACCTACATGAAATGTGCGTATGAAATTTGGATAAAGCCTCGCACATGTTTTGCCTGGTAATGAGGTACCTTAATATCACTGCGTGCTGTCTCTCAGCTTTTTGGTAATATCCGGACATAATTGGCTTGTATCTGTGGCTTAAGGTTACAACTAAGGGGGGCTGTTTACATAAGTTTGATCACAATATACCTGTGCAAACCTTTAAGAAGTTGGATGTCGCCGATCTGTGCTTCCCGGTAACACGGGTATATTATGACGGAGTGGTCAATACCATCGGTGGAACGTATGGCACGTGCTCCTTTAATTATTGCATGAAACCCGATGCCGTTGGTTGAGAGAATGCCGTTCTGCGCCGTCGACAACGTCGTTTCGGCAGCAACATAACGTACTGACTGCGTATTGTTGTTGAACAGAAGGATAAATGACAAGTTTCCTGAGTTAATGTACAATCGGTTAAATTAGGAAACACTTCGAAATTTGTCATTGCTGTTTATAGCTGGTTGGCGAAATAGATAAATGTATTAGGCTTGTCCTAGATGTCATGTCATTAGACAAACAAAAATACACATCCCTCTCCCCTCTTTCTGTCTCTCTCTCTCTCTCTCTCTCTCTCTCTCTCTCTGTCTCTCTCTCTCTCTGTGTCTCTGTCTCTCTGTCTCTCTCTCTCTCTCTCTCTCTCTCTCTCTCTCTGTCTCTCTCTCTCTCTCTCTCTCTCTCCCTCTGTCTCTCTCTCTCTCTCTCTGTCTCTCTCCTCTGTCTGTCTCTCTCTGTCTCTCCTCTCTCTCTCTCTGTCTCTCTCTCTCTCTCTGTCTCTCTCTCTGTCTCTCTCTCTCTCTCTCTCTGTCTCTCTCTCTCTCTCTCTCTGTCTCTCTGTCTCTCTCTCTCTCTCTCTCTCTCTCTCCTCTCTGTCTCTCTCTCTGTGTGTCTCTCTCTCTCTCTCTCTCTCTCTCTCTCTCTCTCTCTCTCCTCTCTCTCTGTCTCTCTCTCTCTCTCTCTCTCTCTCTCTCTCTCTCTCTCTCTCTCTCTCTGTCTCTCTCTCTCTCTCTCTGTCTCTCTCTCTCTCTCTCTCTGTCTCTCTCTCTCTTTGTCTCTCTCTCTCTCTCTCTCTCTCTCTCTCTCTCTGTGTCTCTCTCTCTCTCTCTCTCTCTCTCTCTCTCTCTCTCTCTCTCTCTCTCTCTCTCTCTCTCTCCCTCTCTCTCTGTCTCTCTCTCTGTGTGTCTCTCTCCCTGTCTCTCTCTCTGTCTCTGTCTCTCTCTCTCTCTCTCTTTGTCTCTCTCTCTCTCTCTCTCTCTCTGTCTCTGCCTCTCTTTGTCTCTCCCTCTCTCTCTGTCTCTGTCTCTGTCTCTCTCTCTCTCTCTCTCTCTCTCTCTCTCTCTCTCTCTCTCTCTCCCTCTTTCTCTTACCCTCCTATCCATATGACTCATGCAAGACTGTCTGCGGTCTATTACCATTTCCCGCCTGCAGCAATGTCTCCTACAAGAACCAGTGATTAAGGAATCGTCCTATGGGCGCTCCTTTAATAACACAAACCGACTCGACACCTTCCCGAGTTAAAGGTCAGGCGGTGTGTATGCGGGAATGTGTTCAATGTGCCCCCCGTCTGCTAGGAATACACCGACAGTTTGAATGAACGAAGCCAGGGCTACCGTAGTATTGTACAACAGTGTTGGCAAACTTAATCCCTTCAACTACCGTTTATGGATTCATTACTTTAAGGAGTTCACAATTCTTTGAGAACAGGAGGATTGTTCAATAACAGAACCCTAGCATACCACGGCGAAGAGATTAATGGGTGATACTTTAGGATAACTATTTGCATTGTGACTTTGTTGTGGTAGCTGTTTATACGGACATATAAAGCCGATATAGCGTGACCGTGCTGGGTGTATGGGCTGCTCAAACAGATCGTACAGCGACGTTTCAATGACAAGTAAATTCACAGCTGTACTTATTCGACCGATGTGGTATCCTGTGTTACGGCGCAGTTCACTGAACTACCGGCCCTTAACGAGTATTTCCACGATTGTATATCTCCAGAATGTGTTTAGCGTTGGAGATTCAGTATGGTGTACCCATGATATGACTGTCTGGATAATTCAATCACAAAGGACTGCCACACATGAGAATGTGTGACAAAACGGGAAAACGTGTACGAGATGGAATGCTTCATTCTAAGTGCATTATATGACTGTATTTAAAGTTTGGGGATCAACAAAGGAGAAAAATTCAAAAGAACGGATACAACGCATACAATTGCAACTCGCGGTTTCATTTTGTATTCTCAGTGTTTGTTGTGCTTCGAGCTTCAGCTGTTTCACAATGACGGGAGGTGACTGAAAACAGTGTTAGTTATTTGGATGACATGGGGATACATTTACCTCAAGTACATTGGGAATATCAATACTATTTCACAAGATGTATTTACGCAGTGACAAGTGATTCTTGAAGGCTTGACTTTGATGATACTAGTATATAGCTGACATTTCGCATGCCACGCTATATAATTAAAGCCGAGACAACCAATACTGTCAACTGATCGCGAATTGACACGAGTATTGATAACCAATATAAATGTATACCTATATACCTACCAATGATGACCATCTTCCAGATAGTCTCAGAAATGTCAAATTACCTGTCTGATTAGTATCAACGCCACCTTCAATCTAAAAGCGACGTCAGTGTCGGCTAGGTATTAACCAACCTATCTGTGGTATAAGCATCAATAATTATTTAAGAAAGACGGCTAAGAACTGAGTTTAAACCAAATCAATGACTGCACAATTGGGATTGACAAGCATAGAATCCTAATGGTATCTGAACAACGTCGAGTCACACGGGATTCGGAGATATCGCGAGAGCCGAGACCCTATGTAATGGCTTTCCCCAAGCACAAGCATGCATTGCTCACAGCGTAAGGAATTCACTTCCCTCTGACAGAGAGCTGACTGGGTGTGTTTCTGTTGAGAGTGATCTGATTGTGTCCCTGTTGTGTTAACAAAGTGTTCCTCTTGTGGGTAGACCTGCATCACGGATAGGTTTCAGGGTGGATTTGTTTGTGTCAAATGCTTTTCTACCCGCATGTCGAGTTTGTTGGCGATAAGTCAATACCGTTTATATATAATAAATTGATCGTATAAAGGACTGTTGGTATACGTAGCGAACCCATGACTTTCCTGGTCCAAGGTATGTTGTTAAGCGTGACACCTGGTGACTGTGTGTGATCTCTAAGCAAAACACCTTACCTGTATTGTGTTCTGGAGCGAGGCGCGGCAGAGAACGTCCCTGTCACCGCTGTATTGAGCACTCCACAACTGTCGACGATGACGCTGTAAGAGATGTTGGATGTCAGCTACAACCGGCTGTTCATTCCATGTGGATTACCCGGGATTGTACAGTTGTGATGATTTGAGGACGGAAGAAATCTCCCTCAATATTGGATATTCAGGAGTTCTATTTCCTCGCGTCAATATTCAAGGAAGTTTCGCAAACATAAAAAAACCGATTTTGCCATGTTGTGGAAAAGTAACCTTTTACAGATTTCAGAAGGATCGTTCACAAAATCAAAATAGCCGATCTCTAGTCATTATCGTCCAGTTCATATATTAAATAAAATAAACAAAAAACAAATCCGTGAACGTTTAAGCTGTGGAGTGTTTTTCGCCGCCAGATGCTATTTGCGAGTGAGCGATGAGCAGTATATAAGCCCCAACTTCAACAGTTAACCTGTGTCTACATCATCAAACATCTCACAAAGCACAAACTCGCGAACAAGAAGTGCCTGATGGATAAGATTTTTTTTCAAGTGTGATCAGTTATAGTTTCAGCGGCAGAATGGATGGTATATACTATCTTTGAAGATGGTAGCTGTCCTTCCACTGGATGAACCACGTGACTTGGAAGAGCTCTCTCGCAAGGAGATAGGAAGTATACTTGGATCTTTTAACAGAGTATGGTTGTTCGATCACAGATCAGAGGTGGGCTTGTTAAAAGCCGGCACATCTGGAACCCGTCTCACCGGAGATATGTTTAGGCAGTCCACAGTTTACTATTCACGTGGCCTCTATTTCTACCTGTGTGAATACATTTGAAATATATCACCTTTTGAAGCAGGAAGTGTATCCTATTGTCGCTTGCTATACGAAATATACGCCAATGGATGTCACATGTGAAACAGGGAAAACTTGTACATGATATTGTTGGATATATTTACACTCTCTCCATGTCAAAATGAATATACGGGTATTCACATTAATAGTATCCTCTCTAGTCGGATATTCAAGACAAGGGAATGAACTTAAGATCGGGGTATTGCTACCCCACAAGGGTAAGTACCCCTGGGTGATTCAAAAAACGAGACCGGCTTTACAAATAGCTGTTGAAAACATCATGTTAAATATGACAGTGCTACCTCAACATAACATCAGTCTGGTTATACGGGATTCTCAATGTTCGGAGACTGAAGGCCCGTTAGAAGCTATAGAACTCTACATCCACAACGATGCTCACGTCTTCATCGGGCCGGCCTGCGACTACGCCGTCGCACCGGTGGCTAGGTTCAGCCCCCGGTGGAAAATACCTGTCCTGAGTTCAGGGGCACTGGTCAGCGCGTTCTGGGACAAATCGGAGTACAAACTACTCACAAGGATGTTAGGATCATACGCCAAGGCCGGCGAGTTCTTCTTGGAACTTATAAAAGTGTTTGGATGGACGAAAGCGGGATTGTTATACAGTGATTACAAACTTGACCCTAACAAGGGGAAGTCGAATTGTTTCTTCTCCATGGAAGCTATATACCTGGCGCTCAGTAAGACCTACAGATATAAGCCTTGGCACCATTCATTTGATATGAAAACTGGAGATGTTAATTTCAAGACTATTCTTCAAGAGGCCAGGAACAATGCGAGAAGTAAGTACAAAGTGATACCAACAAAACCACTAACAGAGATGTCGTTGTCAATAATCTGGTTTTTAACCCTATCCACTAACATGTCCCTCTTCCTTGGTAGCCTGAACGCTTTCCGGAACATTTTGTCTTTTTTTAACTGTGTCGTTAAGGGATACTTTTCTTTCGCTAAGTTTTAAGCTTCTTTATTTCTATAAATGGGTACCCGGTGGGATAAGTTATGTAACTATTAACCTTCTAGTGCCCCCGGGGTAATAATAATCAGATTGTATTTGAGCAGGATATGAGGCCAGGAAAAGCGCGTTATAAATATTGTGCATTATTATTATGGTTTACAAATCAAAATGAAAATGCAGCAGAGAGGGTTTGTGTGATCCTGGATTACACTATATTAGCCGTCTTTACTTCCCTCTCTGAAAATATTGTATTTGTTTATTCAACTCCAACGGTTACCTTGTCTTTCGTCCTTCCGCGTTCTCAACGTCTTTATGTGTTTATTTGTATGGTTTGATTTCTTTCCTTCTTCCTCTGACCGTCAATGATGTATGATACTTCAGCAGCCCCCCATCCTAAATATCCCCAATCCCTACCGTCGTCACATTGTTTGTAGCAGGCATGCTCTGAGCTCCGCGAGCTATGAGCAGCATTTGGAGGTATCATACACCCCATTGATCAGCAGCACAGCGGCGACATACGATATGTGGACAAGGTTTTACCACTAACCGGCTGTATCGTGTTACAGAGTAAACAATCCGCCGTCAATTGCATGACGTTTAGATCGATTTAGTAGTAGCGATGGATGAATACATACCCCACTGGGTGCAGAGTGACTGTGTATACCCTTCATTAGCCTTGCTCCAAGGCTGTACTGAGTGCTAAGCCCATGCATGTATTGTAATTGTCATTTTAACTATGAATTATTACATTAGAGACTTGTGTAAGTCTAAACCTTAATAACACATTACCGCACCTGTGGAGTGGATGACTGTTGTTTAATCCAGCAGTATTGAATATTACAGCTAGAAATTATCGAATCTGTAACCCCCAAAACAGCGGTTAACATAATGAGTAACGCTGTAAGCGACGACTGGGTCAGGACACTTCCATACGTTGTACACTACGACGGCCGTAAGACGTCACGGTTGGGTCAGGACACTTCCACACGTTGTACACTGCGACGGCCGTAAGACGTCACGGTTGGGTCAGGACACTTCCACACGTTGTACACTACGACGGCCGTAAGACGTCACGGTTGGGTCAGGACACTTCCACACGTTGTACACTACGACGGCCGTAAGACGTCACGGTTGGGTCAGGACACTTCCACACGTTGTACACTACGACGGTCGTAATACGTCACGCATAGATTACTGGGGTCCAAACGTAGCCTGAATTCCCCGTGTTGATGTGAAGATAACACACAATATAATCTACATGAGACATTACTGTTCTCATATTTCTGTCCCACTATGTCTCTTCACTATTTTATCATGATATTTTATCAAACAATATCCGGGTCATTATACCTACTATTTCCCGGTCGCTGTTTAATGTTTTTTTCCAGTTTGATATGATTATTGCTTTAAAGCTTTGAACCATGGTCGTGATATTTGATGTCCATGTAGATTCATACATAGAATGAATTACCACCACCAGAATCAGCTCAACCGTTCATATATTTGTCTGTATTGAGTATATATATGTGATCAGAAGTGGCATAGATCGCCGCTTTCCCAACTTGCTCAGATGTCTGAATACTAAAAGGGGATATCCACGGCAGAGTAGGTCAAGCTGCACTTAAGAAGCCCAGTGTACAAATGTCCATTGTTAAGTACATGTTGGTATTGAGCCGGTTTACATCCCATGTATCATGGGATCTGACAGAGAGTGAAACCTGTTGATCTACAAGCCATCCACACACGGCATGGCTGCTTCGACGTCTCATCGGAATATGTGACCGAATATGTGACACCCTATGTGACCGAATATGTGACACCCACCCAACCTCTGCCCAGGGAGTCCCTCACACTCTCACTCGCCGATTCACTAGTTTCTCGAATGTTCATAGACTAACAAGTAGTCTCTAAAATGAACATATTTTACTGAAATAGGTTCACTGTAAAAGAAAATATAAGATAATGAAAAGGAGCCCTGAGACCTTCTTCATTTTCAGAAGCTGAGGAAATCTAGACTTGCCACATTTTCTAGACTTGCGTGGGCTTTCTTGGATATATTTGCTTGAGGGCCTGTACGACAGACTAGAATGTTCAGTACCTTCTTTGTAAACGATAGGCCAAGACAGTATAACTGAAAGTATATGTACCATCTGACCGTTTCCCCAGCAACCATACCGCGAAGTAAATCTTTGCCTTGGTCATATTGTCTCGCCTCATTAAGAATACATCACATATCTTCATTTTTTGACAGAAGAATCCATCTTCTCGAAATGTTAAAAAAAGAAAACATATTATTGACCTTCCCTTACTTGATGAATGTTTGCTAAAAATATAGTACTAGATGTTGCCGGGTAATACGTATTTGAAACTATATAAGAAATGAAAAATATACAAAGAAGCTTAAACAGACCGTGTAAGAAGTTTGAAGATCAATGCCTCAGGAAAGACCTTGCAATTAGACTGAGCGCCGGTTTGGTGCTCAAATTTAAATGCATACCTTTATGTCGTATTTGCATAAATCATTACAAGAGTAATAGACATGTACACCCCCCTCCCCGACTCTCAACAAACAAGAACAAGAACAGTTCAGCCGCCATGTATGGTATTAAATCCATTATCGAGGTGTAATGCAAGGACGGGTTTAGCCGGTGTAATATGACACCACAGTGTTGCATAACGTCCCAGACAGACAAACATGTTTGTTTAGATAGTATGTAACCGGAGAAGCCTCATATTATTAGTTGTCAAGCATAAACAACCTCACCTCGCGTCCCTTTGATTACAAACGCTAACGAAGCCCACCCACATAAAATCACCTTTCAGGGTGACTGTGCACGCGAACATTATTATCGAAGATTGACAGATTTGTTTCCTCTTATTCCAAACATCGTGTTATCAACATACCATCAACGGACAGATTAGCATTGTTGTTCACGTTCCTTCCATGCTTGACCATTGGTCAGAGCTGACCGCTAGTTCGGGGTCAGCAATAGAGTATCCCATAAGCTCCTCATAAAAACATCCGTGATTGTACCTCAATTTCCAAGGTCTCATAAACAGAGCTGCTAGCTCAGAAGATAATGCCCCTTGCATGTGTCGCAGACATTGGTATTACAGCTGGCCACAATCTCGCATGTGTATCAGGAGGCGATAACCATGTTCCACGAGGCTCAATCCGTACACGTGTTTAGACGCATGATAACATTGTTACCTTACAATACTTCTCAACCACTACAGCCGGTCATCGCTGATTCCTCGTGTCCAATTCTTCTAATTTCCAAAAGGTATTACCTCCAATGGAACGTCCAATGGAATCGTTTCCGGCTGGTGACTGAGATATTTAGAATAACATGACGATGATATCATTGTGTAGGTTTTGGATCGTATTGTCATAATATAATATCTTATACCTGACGATCCGTTTTCAGTTATTTCTTTGCATCCGAGATTCGCCTGACAATGTCAGTATATTCCCTCCAATGCCAAACGTGAAGATCCGGGTTAGAACTGGTCTTCAGTAACCCATGCTTGTCGTAAAAGGCGACTAACAGGATCGGGTGGTCACGCTCGCTGACTTGGTTGACACATATCATCGTATCCCAATTGTGTTGATAGATGCCCATGCTGTTGATCACTGGATTGTCTGGTCTAGACTCGAATATTTACAGACCGCCGCCATATAGTTGGAATACCGCTGTGTGCGTCGTTAAACAACAACCAAAAATACAAACCCCCAATGCCCGTGTGTTTCACCAAGTGGTAAACGGACAACACCTGCATCACTTAGGGCTGTCATCCGGCATTAACTAGGCACGTCGTTATATAACTGGAATATTATTCAAAATGGCATCAAACCAAACTCACTCACTACTTTATAGTATGTTCTTCACGGACGCCTGCTTGTCGTAAAAGGTGAAAAACAGGATCCGGTGGCCATCTTTGCTGACTTTGTTGAGGCATGTCATCGTATCCCTGTTGTGTATTTCGATGCTCTTGATGTGAATTACAAGATTGCCTGGTCCAGACGCGATGTAGACCGCCAAATATAATGCAGGGTTAAACAACAAATCATTCTCTTCCCACAGAGGTTACTCCTGTCATATCTTCCTACGTAACCTCTGTTCTAATACGGCCATATTTCCCGGTTCTCGTAAAATCCCCTAGCGGCAAAAGATCGCAACACAAATTATCTCCCTTCTTTCTATCCAATCAGAACACCTGTTACATCGACTTAGATTCAACTTGACTAACACAAGCAAATGTGGGGCCACAAATATCCCCCATCTGCCGGGGACTTGTGTTGATGTTACACACAAGACGTTTAATGGCTAGCTTGTCCGTTGTCAACGAGGGCGATGGAGACGCCACTGATCCGCCATAACATAACTGAGTTCTGTCTAGAAGAAACGTTTGCGCATCGCGCAGGGGAAGAAGTTTAGTTTTCTCGAAGCATACGGAAATTACCGAGGCCTTGCGAATGATCACTTTTGAAACAACGTTGCTGATTGCACAACTAAATCTGATTGTCTCCAATCACGAGTCTTGAACGCTCACACCATGAAAGGGCCGTATTAGAACAGAGGTTACGTAGGAAGATATGACAGGAGTAACCTCTGTGGGAAGAGAATGACAACAAATAAGCATAACACATAATACTCTATAGCATTATATACCCCTAAGTGAAACATCTCCCAGTTGTCGCCTACCTGCCTACGATGTATCGAATATTGCTAAGAGCGGCTTAAAAGTAAACTCACTCACTCACTCACTAACGGGGGATGGATCTATCAATACTGTATGAGGAATACAGGCAACACATGGAAAAAT